AGAAAGCGAACCGATTATTGTGGAATGTTTATCTACTCATAATACTGGTATTCCCTCGATTGGATTCTCATTGTTTAATTGCATCTAAATAAACGCCGCATTTCTCCCAGACAATTTGATGTTAGCACTTCACTTTCAGGAATATGAGGCAATGGATCTAATTAGTTACATGAACACTATCTCACATAAGATCTTTCATGTTAATGCATAACACACATGTATAACTTCGTGTCCACCTATTTACACATTTATTAATCTTAACGTAATTATATTTTTTAAAATATATATGTATATATATATATATATATGAACATACGTATACGTATATGAATGTGAGATGTTTTTTCTTAGTGGACGAAGTATGTGATATGTTTGGGGTAAAGTGTTTGAGTAAAGTATATATATGTTTGTAAGTTTACCGCTTTGACTATCTTTTTTATTAATCTAAAATTTTGAAATGAAAATCAAAATAGAATCCCGAAATTTTCTAAAATTATAACTGGTGAAAAAAAAAATCAAAACCACACAGAAAAAAAATAAAGCAGAACCCGGAAATGGTAAATTTAATTCCAGATGATAGACGTCAAGTCAAACCACATAGTTAGTATGAAAAGTCCTTAAGAAGGGAAGAAAAAACGAAGATGGATTTTCAAGGGAGAAAATAAATTTAATATTACTGGATTAATTAATGTGAGGAGTGAGGGAAAATGATTAGCAAATATGGGTATTGAATTGAAGGAAGCAAAAAAGAGAAAGAAATAGACAATTATTAAGAAAGAAATCTAATAATTAACCTGGACTGAGTTGCAGAGATGGTAAGTATAACATGCTGTGGATATTAGGTTCACCTCAGACTTTTAAGAAAATATGACAGAGCTGAAAGGATATTTAGATTTCTGAGTGACAGTGTGTAGAGAGAAAGAGAGAGAGATTGATGTTAAAATTTGAAACCCTAGGCTCTATAGTAGCTTCGAAAAAAATCAAACGCCAAGCAAAAGTCTCAATCGGTTTCAACTGATTGAAAAAACCTCTGAAGGATCGAGAGACAGAGAGATAGAGAGAGAGAGAGTTTCGATCCACTGGATTAAAGAAGGAAGCTCCACTTAAAAGAAAAAGAAAAGAAAAAAAAGAAGCGAGAGAAACGTGTTAACCAAAACCAAGTACTTGCGAAATGACTGAAACTATGAACTACATTATTCTACAAAATTCCAAAAATATAACAAATATCTTAGAAAAAATTTTTGGAAACAAATTACTATTTGCACTAGGTTTTGAAGAATGACGGAGAGGAAGATGAGAGTGACAGAAAAACCCTAAGTTCAAAAGCTGCTCAGAGAGAGAAAGAGAGAGAGAGAGAGAGAGAGAGATAAGGAGAGAAATCTAGTTAAGTTTTGGAAGAATTGTTGCGTTTATTTTTATATTGTAAAATAAAATTCTATAAAAAAAATTGTTGTTAAAGAAAAGTGAAGATCCAATTGGAGATTTAATCAGAAACAAAAATCGCGGTGACCAAACGTACCTAAAAACGATTTTCAGTGATCTAAACTAAGTTCCAAACGAAATGAAGCTAGGAAGCTTCATTAATTAAGAAAAAAAATCCAAAAAGAAAAGAAGAGAAAGAAGGAGAAGAAGTGAAGAAGCAATAAATTAAAGGTCAGACGAGTTTGTTTGAAGCGAAGAAATGAAACAAAAAAGGGAAAATCAGAGGATAAACAAAAAAGGAAACGTTGAAGATAGAAAAGAAAAATGGAGGAGTTAGGGGAAGAAAAACAAGACGTTGATTTAGAGGTCAATACAACAGTGATCTTCTTTTTATGAATTTTCCAGTTGCAGATCTAACACCAATACCAACACAAATACACTCAACCTGCTAAAAACGCCGAGACATTCACCAAAACGGCAATAGATAAATATATATATATGTTTATCTCTCTCTCTCAACACGAAAACTTTATACATGTTTTCATCTCTCTCATCTCTATCCAGCAGCACTTATAACAGCAAAAATCTTTCTCCATGAGCTCCCGAGATCCGCAGTCAGAATTCAAAACAAGAAAACGGAAATGAAAAATTAATCAAGGGAGAAAAAGTAATTTGAAAAAGAGATTTTGTATTGGTTAGCTTTTTCGAGAGGTATTTGTTTGGTTTAGTTGTTTCGGTGAAATTATACCTTGAACTACTGCAAAACTCGTACAGCTTTCCTCTATTAGAGAAGATGATGAGAGCAACCTCCGCATCGCAAAGAACGGAAAGTTCATAAGCTTTCTTCAACAGACCATTTCTTCTCTTTGCAAACGTTACTTGCCTGTTGATCTTGTTCTCTATCCTCTTCAACTCAACCCTACCTCTCCCCATTTTTTTTTTTTCTCTCTTTCTTTTTCTTTCTTTTCCTTTTTTCTCTTTTCTCACACTTCAAATCGATCCACAATTCCTTTGTGTTCTCTCTATTTTAACATATATATCTCTCTTTTTTGCTTTTCCTCTCTTTTTTTTCCTTTTTATTTATTTATTTTTCTCTTCGTAATACATTTATACTCTCCGCTACATTACACATGCATCTACTCTACTCATCAGCTAATAACAGAATCTCAGGTTATTTTATTTTATTTTCCATTTTTTTAATTCTGTATATATATATATATATATAAATAAAGAATAATAAAAAAAGGAAGAAGAGATATAGAGAGATGATGATGATCCTGTATTAATTAATTCTCTAGTACGTCCTCTAAAATTAATATTATATTAAGGAAATGGGTTAGTAGTAATTGTTTAAAACACAGATTAATTAAGAGATGATTAGACAGGCTGTTATCTGTTAGTTGAGCCACGTGTCAGGATCTGAAGATAGAATTTAAGATCGGACGGTCAGAAAGGGAGGAGAGGGAGCGCGTTTTAAAATGAGGAATGGGAATATAACGAGTGAATTGGACACGTGTCAAGAGGAGAAGTCGTGAGGAGGGCGTCTGAATCCACCTGACAATTTTCGGGTTGGGGCAAATCATGTGACCTAACCTTAAGAAACTGAACCTTGTTCGTACGTTTTCTCTCTCTATTTACGGAATTGCCCCTCATTTCTTCAACCTCTCTCCGACGGGACTCTCGACTCTAAACCATCTATCCCCGTTCCGTTATGAAACAATTGCCGTCACTCCTCCTCTCCTGTCTTTAAAAAAATAATAAATAAATTTAATTGTAAAAAGGTAATTGACGTTTTATTCAATTTGGTCAGTAAAATTTTAATTTCTGTAACTAGATTCTGAATTTTTATTTCCCAAATAAATTCTTCATTATTTATTACTAAAAAATTAAAAGTCAAAATTTATTTTTATAATTAAGTAATGTGTGTGTGTATATATATATGTATGTATATAAAGTAATTGATCCCATGCTCTCCCATGTACGAGAATGACTTCCCGTAATTCCATTGCATGAACCAACAACATATATTTACATATATTAGGTATAGTTGACTAATTTATTAATGTACATAATATAGGGTTTGGTGCATTAAAATATGACCTAACTCAACTCTCTCCGGACCTAATCCAATCAAACCGGTTCAGATTAAAAAAGCATGAACCGTCCTGAATAGGTTCATATTCACCGGTTCACGGTTTTCCTTTGGTCTCTGATTAAAACACAACATGCTGTTACCCAAATTTGTATAGACAAATCTGAGTTCTTAATATACGGTTTTAACATTATAATTACTTTTATTTGAATTATAATGTGTGTGTGTGTGTGTTGTAGTTTTATCCAGAATATGCTAATAAAAGGGTAGATTGATTGTGGGATTAGCTTTATATATATATATATATATATTATGTGTGTATGTATTTATTAGTTGTTGTAATAGGTGGTGTCATCCTTTTCAGTCACATATATACGCCAAGACAATATGTTGATCCCTGCTGCCTCATTGTTTTTATCTACCTAAACTATCTCCTTCCAATAAGGAAGACTTTCACTTTATATTCATACCCAATTTCAAATTTCAATTTTTATTTTATTTCTATTTATAACTAAAGGTTTATGCTTCAAGTTTACTGGGAATTTTTTGTAAGTTTCTTTTAAAATGTTTTATTACACTATTATTATTGTGGGAATCTAAATATTACAATAGCTTAATTCATAGAAAGAATTATGAAAATTTCATGTTTGAATTGGTACATATTTTTATGTTAAGAATACTAAATTAATTCACTTATATTTTAATTTTTTTCAAATTTCCTCCAATATATAAAAATAAAATTTAAGAATAAAATAAATTTATACCCAAATATTTAAATGTAACTGAATTTCATCAAATATCTTTAAAATTTATCTCCATAAAAGACTCAAGCATTTGCATGCATTACCCCGAACCTAATGACCCTAGTAGCATAAATTAGTTAAATGATCAAAGAGGATCAAGATATTGTAGCCTAGTGGTTATGCATCCCGACATTATTGTTGAGGTACTTGGATTCAAATCTACAAAGAGTGGTTTCCATCCTCATAAAAAAATTAAATGACCATAGAGAAAAATAGTAAGATGCTCAAATAAGTTGTCATATGTTGTTAAAAAATTAACTAATCTAGTGAGATAACAAGTTTAGAGAGAATGGTTTCTTTAGATTGATATGTATTTGTAAAGATTCGTGGAAACAAGTTAATAAGCATGGTTAAGGAATGAGCAAAAATCGTTGTAATTTGAAAAAATGAATAAAATTTGTTCATTACTTTTATCGATAACTTTCATGACTCAATATCTCCAAATAGATTAAGAGACTTCTTTGACATTTATATTCGTAAGAAATAACATCAAATGATGGATAAAGTAAACCCTGTGTGGGACATGCAAGTGGTATTCTGTGCGGGATAAGAAACTACGGTTAGTTGTTAAAATTTTAAAGGAAAATGGGACGAAAGAGTATCGTGGAAGAAGGAAAAAGGACTAGTAGAAAGATCTCTATACAGCTTGAGAATGAGAATGAGAATGAGAAGGGAGTAATGTTGTACCCCAAAGGCAAATTAGTAGGTTAATGTGATATTAGAATAAAGCAACCTTAAGCAAGGTCTTCATGTTATATCCTTTAATTAAGATGAAATAGAATTTTAATGATTGCACCCTTATGTAATCAGGTTGATAAGGAAATGCCTAGAAGTTCTAAATGCATATAATGAAATTCATGAATGCAAAATAGAGTGAAGAGAATTCGGCAATATATAATGGTTTTCTTTTCATGGTTTTACTATTTCCACAAGGTATGAGTATGAGTAATAAATGAAGTAAGTTCTTTTATTGAAAAAAAGTTTAATTTAGTTAAGTATTAGAGTAATGAAATGAATATAAAATAAAATGTGGATGGGGTTCCTATGAAAGTATAGGTGATGAGATTTTTCATATTAACTGCTAACTCAAGTAAAATTTTGGACATTATAGGGTGAAGCATCAATATGCTGTGTATGAATATGGATGACTTTTATTAGAAGTTATTTTAAAATGACTCAAATTCTACATGTTTGAATATTAATGGATTACTAACATGGTTAGGTATCTAATATGATAAATTCTAATCATTAAAGATTAAACAAGATGACTCATTCTTATATAAAATTAGAGATAAAATTGTGAAACACAAGAAAGTTTAAAATTTATTGTATGTGAATAAATATTACGAAAGAAATAAAAAGAATAAGATCATGAATTTTAGTGAATTAATCACTTATATATCATTGATATTTGAGTATTAACTCATGATGTTAGTCGGTTAAAAGTGCACAAGCTTGAAGAAGTTGGGCCATCCATCAAGGGGATCATATAAGCCTTCACATTATAAACCTAGCTAGACTATTTAAACCAATTGCTAACTAAACTATTAAGTTCAAAGAGTCACACACTTTAACATTTTGAAACAATCTACTGATAAGACTTTTGACAAGCTCAGTTTATGTGTAAGTCTGATTAAGCGTATTAATGGACTTAATTAATTTTAATTAGAGTTAGCTTAATTAATAGTATAATTATATGTCCTCAAAATAAATTAGTAAAATGCATAAAAATTGTAGTAATTGGTTATGTAAAAACTTGTTATATGAATATAAAAGGTAATTTATTACTTTAATCTTGAGATAATTGATTAAAAAATCTATTTATTTTGAGATCCTTGGGATTTATGTGAAAGGAATTAGGATTGCAATAACCAAGATCTAGTTTGTAAGTTCTTAAAATATTTTCAGCTATAGGATCATAAAAGTTTTGAACTCTTATAATCAAGCTAAAATCAATACATGCAATATTTATCATAAGGATGTGCTATCTTATTGAATACTTCCTGACTTGGTATAAGAATACATATATAGGGTTATTATGTCCTTGTTAAGTATGGGAATCTGCCATGCTAGTGTTTTATATTAGGCCTTGGACAAGGGGTGATCGTAGTTGTCTTGTGAATGATCCATTTCCACTTTGATAATATTTGTATGATCTTTTATGGTTGTATAAAGATTGTTATAAGGTGTTTTGTTGTAGCTCAAGAAAGTGAATTAGTACTAATAATGCACTTATAAATAAACTGAAGTATGTTATGTGATTGAAAGTACTTGATTTAAAAAATCTTTTGATCAATAGTAAAATTTGAAAAAAGTTCCTCATTGGGTGTAAAGGAATCAAGTCGGTCTATTTAATTATGTAATGATAGATGTATAAGAGATTTATCTATTACTTATGCTTTTTTCTATCTAAAACAAAGAACAATATAACAATTTTTTTTGTTTGAGTAACATTAGTAAAAATATTTTTTATGACAGTGTTCATTTCTGGAATATGTGTTTCAAGATGAATCATTATCAAATACTTAGTTACAGACAATTTACTAGCTTATGTGGTATTTGAGTCCATAAAGAATAGCGACTTATTAATATTTGGCCATTAACGTACATATTCAATTAACTTAAGATAAAAATTAGTCAAGTAATTTTATAGGAATATAAAATATAATCTTGAGATGTTAATAGCAATAAAATTTATAGCAGTAACAAGATTCACTTTATTGAAATTCATTTTATTTTACAGTAAATTATTTAAAATAAATCAATTATATTAAGATATAAAATAGTAAAAGTGTAAAATGTAATTGCTTACAATTTATTTTAATTTTTTATTATATATTACAAGAAAACTATTTTTTTAACTTTTCAAAATTTTAAATGTTCTATATTTACTAATTGTTACACTTGATTTTATAAATTACCCCATCAACCATTGGTTGGCTAAACTGTTAAAATTTTCATCACTCTTGATGAGACCGTAAATTCGAGTTTTAAGTTATGTATTTTGTCTGTACTAATTAAGAGATTATATTATTAATAATGTATATATAACAATTAATTAATAAAATGCATAAATTTTTATTTAATAAATATTTAAATTTATTTCGGATATAATATAAGTAAAAAACCTAGTAATTAAATATAATAACAAAGTTTTCCTAAATAAGTCA